TAGCATAAAAACATAGCCAGATGTAGATTTTCTGCTATCAATGCAACCAATGAAGTCTGAATCAGAGTAGCCTATCACCTCCAAACTATCAGTCCGTCTATATATGAGCATGAAATCTTTTGTTCGTTGAAGGTATCTCATTACCTTCTTTGCAGCTTTCCAATGGTCAACACCAATATTACTTTAATATCTTCCTAAAACTCCAACTACAAATGCAATGTTAGGTCTAGTGCAAACTTGAGCATACATAAAACTTCCAATAGTTGGCATCTCAAAGAGTGGGATAGCTGGCCCCAAGATTTAACGTGGCTGCATACACAAGGCAAGATTCGAACCCCTGACCTTGCTTAAGCGTGGATCAACCCCTACCGCTGAACCACACGCTTGGGGTTAAACTTCCAATAGTTGAAGCATATGGAATATTTTTCATGTGTTCTCGCTCAAGATTATTTTTCGGGCACTAACTCGATTCAAGTTTGTCACCCTTCACAATGAGAGCTAAACTTATCTTAAAACTTTCTACAACCTTGTTGATACAGGTAACTTGAGACAAATCCAAAATACCTCGAGATCTTTCTCTATGGATCTTAATGCCTATAACATAAGATTCCTCGCCCATATCCTTCATATCAAAGTTCTTTGAGAGAAATTGTTTCACCTCGTACAACATACCCTTGTCATTAGTTGCAAGTAAAATGTCATCCACATATAAAACAAGAAAGAAAATCTTGCTCCCACTAACCTTTTGGTATACACATTGATCCATGATGTTTTCTTCAAAACCAAATGAAAAGATAACTTCATGAAATTTTAAATACCATTGGTGTGAAGCTTGTTTTAATCCATAGATGGATTTGTTAAGGTTACATACTAAGTGTTCACCATCACTAGAGAAAAATCCTTCAGGTTGTTTCATGTAAACCTCTTCCTCTAGATTTCCATTAAGAAATGTTTTTTTCACATCCATTTGATGTAGTTCAAAATCAAAATGAGCTACTAATGCCATGATTATTCATAGAGAATCCTTCTTAGATACAGGAGAAAATGTATCCTTATAATCAATTCCTTCTCTTTGAGTGAATCCTTTGGCAACAAATCTTGCTTTATGTCTCTCAATGTTACCTTGTGAGTCCTTCTTAGTTTTAAAGGCTCATCTACATCTAATGGATTTTACACCATGAGGCAACTCAACAAGATCCTAGACTTGATTAGACGTCATAGAATTCATCTCTTCTTTCATAGCATTATACCACAAATTTGATTACTTAGAGCTTAGCTTGTGAAAACGTTTCAGGGTCATTTTCGACTCCAATGTTATAATCTAATTCTTGTAAATACACTACATAATCACTAGAAATTGTTGATCTTTTGGTTCTAGTATATTTTCTTAATGCTGCCTCGTCACCTTGGTGAGAAACTTGTTGTTCAACAGATTGCTCAATAGGAGAGCATGGGGGAGAGAGTTTCGTGAAAGAGAAAACTCAAAGTAAGAGGGTGAAGCACAAAGAGCATCATTTTAATTGTCTTTCTAAATCGGTTATATAATAATTGATTTAGAAAAAAGGCTCTCACATGAGATTTTAAAATTATTATAGGATAATCAATTTTAAATTTTTTTAATTTTTTTTAAAAATTGATTATCCTCTAATCAAATTTAAAAAGGATTTTCAAAATCGGTTGTATAACAATTTATTTTAAAAATATTTCATTTAATTTCAATTATGTCACTATGTGAGATTTAAAATTGGTTACATATAATAATTGATTTTAAATCCTTCATGTTAAAACTATTTTTTGCAAAAGCAACAATTAGGGAACTTTTCTTTTGAAAAGAAAGGAATAACCTTTACGGACAATCCACGGAGGTTTTAGCTTTAGAATGCAAAAATCACTATATGGAGATCGCAACTTCCTCAAAAAAGAGAAGTTATTGTAATGCACAACGAACCCATTAAAATGAGCTTTAAGGGTAAACACCACAACCAACAAAGGAATAAGTTCAAAGATTACCAGAAAAGAGGAAGAACAAACAAGATTATGATTGGATGGACAAGATAAACACCCACAAACAAAGAGAACGCACGTGAAGGAGAATGAGACGTTGCATGTGAAAGTGTTTTCGAAAACGTAATTGCTAAGAATGAAGAAGAGGCAAAGTAAAGGTATATGTAAAAAAACAAAACTTAGGTAATTGTTGTCAATTTAATTTAATATACATTAAACTTCCGTAAAACCATTTTTGAGAAAAGAAAGATGATTAAGGTGACATTAGAGACTAAAGAATAGGAAGACACGTGGCATTAGGAAAAAGCATAGCAATTTATAGAGCATGTGGAACGTCGGTCAAAAATATCGACATGCATAAATCATAACAAAGCTTTAACTTTACACCTAGTATTATTGATAAATATCATGAGAATAAATTAACTTGACTGTAGTCAGAAAGTTCTTCATCAATCTAATCATATCGCATTCATACTTAATCGTCTAGCTGGATAAACGACATCTCATATTCATTGCTTAAACAAGTTTTAATCTCAGCGATCTTTTTTTTTTTTTAATCTTGTTTCGAGGATTATTGTATATTCGTATAGTTGATCGTTTAACATTATGTATTCGTGTATTAAAAAAACTGGTTTTTCCATGTTCGACCAAACGCGGTTTTTGTTCTTTATGTCGTTTGTTTTGCTTAGTTTGTAAAACATATCCATTAATTAGTAAAAGACATACATACAAGATTCCGTTTAGGAATAATGCACTTGCGATTCGCCCAGAAAAGCTAGCATAACTATTATTCGTTGACTCGTATATTACTATCGATATGTAGGCCCTTATGGAATTATTTGAAACATGAATTTTGCAGAAAAGCAATCTTTTCATCTATAGAATACTCCATTAACATCAGAGTATAACATTATAGCCACATACTGTCTGATATATGATGTGTTTCTTATCCGGATGAAATGAGTTTTTTTTTTTTTCTTATAAGCTAAAATTAATTTACAAATATAAATATTTTAAAAAATATATAAATTAATTTATGTACAATGTAAATTTGAATTTTTCCCTAAAAAAAAAGTCTAACTAATGACCATCTACTGTGTCTCTTTTCCTATCTTATATATTAGAGAAATTCTAAATTTAAAAAGTTTTGAAACAATTGATTATAT